CAGGTCACATTTAAAATGTAATGTGAACGTTCACACAAAAAGATCAGATTTTTTCAAAAAATCGGAACTGAGCATTAAGACCTGCAGTGTGAACGTAGCCAGAGAGTACAGAGGGTCCTACAAGACATTTCTGCTTGGTAATATGTCTCCCAGTGATTCTCTCATACATACTGTACATATGTCAATATTAATCTACTTTTTGTGAAAATAATATAAATTTAGATCATTATGAAGCTATGTTTGGCAAATAAGTCATGAACATCCTCCATTTTTAAGAAACATTTTGCAATGAAATCATTGTGATTTGCAAAGAAATAGTCCTCTTGCTACTAGTCTGGTGGAGCTGTGTGGGGGAGGGGTGCTCTGTGAGGCGGGAGCTCAGCTGCAGACTGAGCTCCAGGGAGGAGCTTTGGGTAAATGGGCGGTGCTTTGTTTAGGTTTAGACAGCTCCGGATGGCTACTATAGGAGATTCAAGGATTTCTCAAACATGCATGAATGAGTCAAAGCAACACTCATGATAGGTCTGAAGCTGTTTTGTGAAAAAAAAGAAAATGGGCTAAATTTTCCTCAAGTCAGTGAAGACCCTGTCACACTATCAATGTAGACAACCTATGCCAACTTATGAAAATTTTGTCTAAAACTAAAAATGTCTACATTGAAGACGGAATAAAAATAATTCTACTGAGATCCTCTTTTGGACGTAGACACGCTGTAATGTCATTGATTAGATCAAATATATAACCTACATGAGTAATTTAGTCAAAACAAATTTTTATAAGTCTGCATAAGTTGTCTAAAACATTACAGTGTGAATGGGCCTTTAGCAGCAGAAGATAACTCAGTTAGTAATTGTTCAACAGGACTCATTTTAACACAACATACTGATATAAAGCTTCAAAATACTTTCATAGTTATAGAATACTGACTCAGTCCTTCTAATGATTTAATTAACTATTACTCATCTAAAACAAATTAAAGGGATCCCTGATTAGTTGTAACATCAGACTTTATTTGATAAACATTTATTTTAACTGTAAAATAAAGACTGTAAAAATACTGTAGGCTGTTTAGTTTTGTTAATTTTAAAAAATATAATTTAACATAGACAGAGCCATTTTATTTCCACACAAAGCATTCTGGGTAAATGATGACGTGGATAGGTCCTCGGTGTGAGCGAGCTATATCCACCCTGAAGGTTAATCTTGGACAATATCTGATGATCAACTCTTTTAAATGAAACCAGAGAGTGTTGACAGAGAGGAGAAGGTAGAAATGACTCAGCCTGTAACTGAAAATATGGATGGAGGACAACAGAGCTGCTTCATGGAAGAAGAACCTCAGCTTAGCCTGTTAGCCTTTGTGCTAGCACTGACACTATATTGCCTTATATGTATTAGCTCGGTGCTAGCCCAACAAACAATCCAAACTGTTGTCCTCCATCCATATTTTCAGTTACAGGCTGAGACATTTCTACCTTCTCCTCTCTGTCAACGCTCTCTGGTTTCATTTAAAAGAGTCGATCGTCAGATATTGTCGTAGATTAACCTTCAGGGTGGATATAGCTCGCTCACACCGAGGACCTATCCACGTCATCATTTACCCAGAATGCTTTGCGTACAAATAAATTGGCGCCATCCGTGTAATATATATTTAAACTTTTAGTTTTAAAATTATAAAAACTAAACAGCCTACAGTATTTTTACAGTCTTTATTGTACAGTTAAAATATGTTTATTAAATAAAGTCTAATGTTACAACTAATCGGGGATCCCTTTCAATACGGTTTGTTTTTAACTCAAATTCTAATCCAACGAAATGTGTTCCCTTTAAAAAAAACTTGGTCTCCTTTAACAAGCGTCTTTTTGGTGATGAGTTTGGAGTGACTGCAGTGTGGAAGGAATCCAGCTGCAGTTCCAGCTGTGCAAGCTCACAGTGGTCAGGAATGCAGAGCATGAACATGTTTTCTCTGATAAAATAACCGCTTCAAGTGGAACGCTTTAAACATCTACCAGGGTCTGCTTTGTGCCATTTTCATATCTGCTCACTGAAGACGAGTCAAGGCAACATTTAAGTCACACATACTTTGATGCATTCCTGTTAAATCTGTGTTCACTTAGCAGAGGGAAACAAAATGTAATTTTACTCCTAGGCACTCTCTATCGTATCTCTGTGTTTGTGAATTTACTGTTTTTCTCCTCAGGACGACTGATGATGAGTCCACCACCCAAAGGAAAGTCAATCTTCTGCTGCAAAAGATCAACAAGTTGAAGTGGAGGACAGCTGAGAGTGTGCAGGAGGAGGAGAGAGTGAGATGTTTACCAAGGGGGACAGAAAAATCTGACTTTGATTTACTCTCCTGATAACACCGTGTTGTTCGTGTTTTAAACATGTAGGACCAGGAAACAAAAATGAATGTCCTGCAGGAGAAGCATGCAGCTCTGACGAAAGAAGTGTCTCAATTAAAGCAAAAACTGGAAGTCGAGATCAAGGTGTAGCGTTAACTCCCCGTTTTTGCTGATTCATCTCAACTCATATCTTGTTCCTGTAACTGATGCTGTGTTTTTTCCTCTGTTGCAGAATGAGATGACTTTAGCCAAGGCTTTTGAGAAAGCGAGGGCTGAGAAAAAGCAACTCCAGGAGGAGAAGACCAAGAGTCAAACAGAGCTCAGCAACCTGAGAGAAAAACTGGCTGAAATCGAGGCCGAACTTCAGTCCACCAAACAAAAGTAAGAGTGTAAATTTCAGCTCATTTAGTAAAGTTTAAATTAAATTGTGAGCCACAGTGAACTGGTTGTAACAGCTGTTGCATAGTTCTGCTAATCTGCTAATAGCGGAACTGGCATATCATTTAACAAATTATCTTTAAACTTTAAACTAAGAGCATAAAAAAGAAATCAAATAACATTTAATATTTAAATAATGTACAAAAATTAAATAAGTTTAACATATGTTAGAGAAAGTATTTGCTATTTGCTATTTATAAAAACATAAACTCCATGAAAGAAATGCTTTTATTCTGAAAAGGTTAAGCAGGAGATATTACAAGTTAGACAAATCTACTCTGGTTTTGATTGGTTGAGTTACCACAGATGATCCCACTCACCTTTAAATTAAACCAGTAGAAAATTAACAGACCCACCTGTCTTCTCCTGGAAGATGCGTGACATGGGCTGAGTGACAGTCGTCTTAGCGGTTAGTGTTAGCTTCCATTAATTTTTTTAATCTGTTTAGCAGTCTGGCATTAGCTGAGCTAAAATTAACCATGAACCCTGATCCATAATACCACGGACCCTAACTCAAAGACTTGTTTAGTAGATTAGTTGTTAATGAAGCCAACTTTTTGGTTAGCTGTGTCCACCACTGGTAATTGATTAAGTATGCACAGGCATAGCCGATTCTGACTGTTTAAAAGGGACTAATGTGGTCTATCCTTAAAGATGCAGTAGGGAACTGCTATAAAATGTATTTTTTACTGATTTGTTAAAACTGTCACTGTGTCCTGACAGTAGAATATGAGACAGATAATCTGTGGTCCTACAGCCATTTGCAGAAATACACAGCTCCCGGTCAGAAACAACTAATGAGAGCAGTGTCAAACATGCTTGAGTCAAAACTTCAGGCTAAGTCCACAGTTTTCTCAGAACTTCTTACTGCAGCTTTAAAGTGCCTGTGACATGCTTATCCTTCAGATACAAAAAGTCAAAGAAAACTTTGCTCTATTTAAGAAACTTGGCTAATCACACATTATTTTACCCATTTGGACACATAACTGACCTATTTTCTTTTGAACTTGGCTTGGCAAAAGGGAAACAGGAAGTGACATCAAAGGGGAACTCCTTTAAAAAAACTCACTGGTCTTTGTTTATTGAAACATTATGATTCAAACTCTCACTCTTTTTTTGTTTCTGTCTGATAGCGACTCAAAATAATCTAAAACATCAGATTCCTCTCCACAGTCTGGGCTGTTGAGCATTTTAGCTTAGCTCAGTTTTCATGCAGACATTCCCCTTTGACATCACTTCCTGTTACTTCACATGCAAATATCTCAACAACCGTTCATCTCAGCAGCATGAAAATTATTTTGTAATATGTTCTCAGTGTTGTCTTTCCAAAAAATGAATTTGCATTATTTAAAAAATTGATGTCACAGGAACTTTAAGAAAAACCTTTTCACATCATGCATATCCAGTGCTGTGTTCCAGCTAAACCTATGCTGGGTTTGGTCATCAGCGGAACTGTAATGTTTATTTCTATGCAGAATGTGTTACCGACAGCAGATTAAAATACTTTTTTAAAATTTTGACTTAAAATATGTGCGTTAAGTAAAGTGTGTAGTTCTTGTCTTGTCATTTTGTCATAGACTGAATGAGATGAGGACAGAAAAAGAAAGATCTAAGGCCGAGATGAAAGACCTTCAGCAGCAGCTCTCTGAGATGCATGATGAGTTGGATCGAGCCAAGAAGGCAGATATGATAAACGCAGATAAAGAAGTCCTTCTTAAGGTAAAAATAAAAAATAAAAAAACTTGAAATGTCAGCAGCGGCTCCGCAGACTTACACCTGACCAGTGACTTTTCTGTTTGCTGACCGTCTTGTCAGGATCTGGCCCAGCTCCGTGCGGACTTTCAGGAGATGCTGCAGATTAAGGAGGAGCAGGAGGAGCTGCTGCAACACACAGAACGCGAGTTCAGAGCCCTAAAGGGTGCGCTGAAAGAGGAGGTGGAGACTCACGATAAATACACGGCTGCCTTGAAGGAGGAGTACGAGCAGGAGCTGGAGAAGCTGCTGAGGGATTTAGAGCTGGCCAAGGAGGTGAGGGGAGATATTTGCTGACAGCTGGAGCACGATTTGTTTTGACTTCAACCGTCTTCGTCCCATCCTGTGTAGAGCAATGCTCTGCTGGGTCAGGGGAAGGCGGAGGCGGAGGAGGAGAGAGGTGCAGCAAAGGTGCAGCTGAAGGAGCTGATCCAGGAGCGAGATCATCTGAAGGGGAGGGTCCGAGAACTGAACAACAAGGTGGAGCAGCTGAGTCAAGCTGTCCAGGAGTTCAAAACCACCGAGAGACTGATGGAGCAGAGAGCCAAGCAGCTGGAGGTGAGGATACAGAGAAACAAAACACCCCAAACTATTCTGTTATTTCAGGCCGGCGGTAATGAAAGTGCCTGTGGCTATGAGGTTTTTTTTTTTGTTTGTTTGTTTGTTTTGCGAAATATTGTATGGGATAAATCTTGTGCCAGCAGGAATTGAATTTGAATCGCTCAGATTGAATCTGAATGCGCATAATTTGAAACTGAATGAATTGGTTTGAAAATAAATTTCACTAAATTGAAACTGAATTGAATGATTTGAAACTGAATTTAAAGTTTTGAATTTGAATTAATTTGCTTTTTAATTGTATTTTGGTTTATTAAAATTTCAGTTTGACTACTTTCACTTTCAGTTCCAAAATTCTGATTTTTGTGTCACATCCTGGTCTTTGAGAAAGCCAGCCAGAGTAATCAAGCACAGATCCACAGATTTATGATCCACTTTGGTGAAGTTTCCCTTCTGTACGTAACAGAGTTGATGCAATCCACCGTAAAAGTGGGAAAAAAAAACAAAGTTATTTTATTGCAGTGATTAATTTTACCTATATGTAGCAACTGTTACATTCAAATGATAATTCATGGAGCAGCAGCAGCAGTATCTGATCAATATGTGATCCATGATGTAAATGTAACATTTTCTACATAAAGGTAAAATTAATCACTGCGATAAAACAACTTATTTTAATATTTTTTATTAATAGTATTTATTCATTTCATTTTAAAAAACAAAACAAAACATTACATACAACAAAACAATACAAATAAAATAAAATAAAAGGCAGCAGAAGAAGAAAAATAAAATTTTGCCTGTTTTTGTCACTTTTATGGTGGATTGCATCAACTCTGTTACATTACAGAAGGGAAACTTCACAAAAGTGAAGTATAAATCTGTGGATCTGTGTTTGATTACTCTGGCTGGCTTTCTCAAGGAACAGGATGTGTGACACAAAAATCTGAATTATGGAACTGAAAGCAAATTAATTCAGATAAAAATCATTAAATCCTGTTTCAATTCAGTAAAATTCATTTAATGCATTCAATTTCAAATTATGCACATTCAGATTCAATCTGAGCAATTCAAATTCAATTCCTGCTGGCACAAGATTTATCCCATAATATTGCTTGAATCAGAGAACAGATTTTAATGAAACTCTCAGAAATTAATCATTAAATTTGCATCAACAGCCGATTAACTTTTGGAATCAATTGAATTCAAGATGGCCTCCGCAATAAACTGACTGTCAAACTTAATATTGCATATAAATCAGTTAGTTTTACAGATATTGAGCTAAATCTTGGTCAGGCAGTAGACGAGAGTCCTCCACAACACATGCTTTGAGCGCTAATGGATTGCACAAGATCATCGCTTAAAACTTCGGCTGTTGGAGTCAGTTTTTGCGGGGTAATCTTTTGGCAATCTGCAGCTTCTAAAGCAATGCCAGGCCTTTATTTATTCAACAGGTGCTGTCAGTCACAGATGATGTGATGTTTTTCTTTCCTGTTCCTCTCCTTCCTCAGAGGGAAAAGCTCCAGGTGGAGGAGACGCTGAAGAGCGTGAGGAGGAGCGAAGAGGAGATGAGTCAGTCCAACCAGTCCCTGCTTTCTCGCCTGGAGGACACGCAGGTAACAAGGCGCACACACGCGTGCAGTATAACCAACGTGTTTGGAAACTGATGCTTCCCTCTTTCCCTCTCAAGAGCAAGCTGACCAAACTCAACCAGGAGCACAGGGAGTTGAAGGAGAAGCTAAAGGAGGAGAGGAAACAAATAGAGGAGCTGTGGAAGAGTAAAACAGAGCTGGAGGACGAGAGGAGAATGCAGGACAGGGCTATGGAACAACTGCAGAGGAAGGTGAGAGGTGGACACGTGCTGCTTCTGTTTGTCTTACGGGAGAATTCTGCGTATTTCTGGAGCCAGAAACAGCTGATGACTTCTCTTCAGTCCAAATATCTGAGCCCTGCTCTGTTCTGCCCGCTCAGATGACTAACATCATGGAGGAGTGCGAGGCGTCTACAGATGTGCTTCAGAGCCAGGTCGACGAGGCCAGAGAGAGGAGTCAAAGGGAGTTGGCCGAGCTGCGGAGACAGCTGCAGGAAAAGGGAGCAGAGCTGGAGAAAACCAGACACGCAGCCAAACAACTGCAGGAAGAGGTCTCTGATTCATGACAATTCAGCTTTTACTCACTAATAAAACCAAAGCTGTAGGTTTATAAAACTTTGTGTGAGATTAAACACAACTCAGACATTATGTTCTCCACTCTGCTCTCTGTCCAGCTCCTTCCTCTGGAGGAGGATCTGAGGAGGTGTCACAGGGAGCAGCAGGAGGCCCAGCTGAGGGGCCGACAGCTGGAGAAGAGGGTGGAGGAGCTGGAGGAGAAGAACGCCTCGGTGGTGGAGGAGCGAGAGAGGCAGATCAAACTCATGGAGGTGAAGTTTTACTGCAGCGTCAGCAGAAATGTGAATAACATGTTACTGCTGAGTGAAGACAGAAACAACAAACATGCTGCTGCTGGGTTTCACCCCTATTCTCCTGAAAATTAGACAGGAAGTAGCTTTAATGTCTTCAGTCAACATTTGTGAGAAGTGGTTTATATTATAATAATTGAAAAACAAACTATAATTGTTTGTGCTTCATACTCATATTCATTCTGTTCTCAGTCTGTCTAATTAAATTAAAAGCAGAAATAAATAAATGAGCCAATAAGTAAATAAATGCACTTAAAATTTACAAATTTATTTTAAAAAGTAGAGTTTCACCTCATGTTTTACAGTGTAATTGAC